GTGGGCGGGGCGAGAGGCCGCGGGGTCCCGGCGCGGGGGGGGCACAGGACATGAAAACCTTCCAGAAAATCCTCAGGAGCGGTTTGTGAATTATTACGGCAGGTGAATGCACTCTCCTCACCTGTAACCGCAACCCCCGGCGGCACCATCTAATTAATCGTTTCTCTGCTTCCAGCTGGTAGGAGGGTCCCCGCAAGCGCAGAGATAGAGGCACAGGGCTGGAATCAACGGCCAGAACATCAACCGCGAGCAGCCCCGGGACACGTCGTTGGTCACGGCTCTGGTAACGCTGCTTGGTTCGTCGCGGCCCCGTTTAACCTGACAGGCGACAGGAAAACCCAGAGAACCCATCCCCGAACTGTCGCGACACGGAGCCGCCAGGGAGGAAACCGGCCTCGGGACACGCAACTCCCGCTTTTCTCACCTTTGTTTTCCTTTTCACATAGTGACGTGAAACTAAAGACATTTAAGCTTATTTAAAGCAGTATTTAAAATTCAATAACGTCACCTACTTTACAAAATTAATAAAGCAGCTTAGGAGATTAACACCCCTCAGGTAAAATTCTGCCTGTTTCCATCAATTCTGTGCTAGACATGCCTACATCTATTTATGGGATGAGAATGTTCGTTATTTTAAATCAGTTCCCAATCTTTTTATGAAATATTCCCAAATTGGTGGAATTCTTTCTGAAGCTTTGGTTATTCTTTGCCTTTTTCATGGAAGAAAGGTTTTCCCACAGTGCAGGGTGGGGAAGTAGCAAACTATAGGAGACCACGTCTGTAGCTGGAATGATACAAGCAGAGAGAGATGAGACAGAAAAACAGCATAAGCCTTCTCTGCCTCTTCTTTCCAATGGTGTTACCACTACAGCACGCTCCAAAAAAATTCAGTTTCTTCAACAGCAAGCAATGAAACAAGCAAATGTCAAAGCCCCTATGCCCCAAGGATTCCAGGGTGTTGGCCTAGAAAGAAGGAAGCTTTTAACCACCACACTGGCACAGCACGGGCTTCCAGGGCTCAAGGTTTGGGGGTGGTGGGGAGCGAGGGAATAAAGGCGCAAAAGATTCTTTTGCTGTCCCTTCTCCTCAATAAACAGCTACATGCTTCACTCCTACCAAACAAAACAACAAGATTAGGTCCCCTCACCTCGCTTCTGGAAATAACAGCAAATAACCTTCAGATGTAAAATTTCATCTTTGCTCACGTGAAGTCCCCGTTTGGAACAGCAACACTAGAATGAGAACAGAAGTACACCTTGATCAGCGAGTGCCCAGGACAGCAGGGCATCCAGACGGATAAGCAGGAGTAAAAATCCTTGGAAAACCACACATATACCAGAGACCAGCAAGTCAGTTCACAAAATTCTCTTTAAAATTAAGAGGTGGCTTGTACTTGCATGCAAACAGTGCTTGCCAGCAGGGTCACAGAAGGGACTGAACACAACACTCACAGGAATTAAGATCCCAAAGGGAAAATATTTTGAAGTTTCCAGCCCTCAGTGCCTCTTTCTGCTTTTATTTCCTGTACATTTCAGATTTGCTGCACGATGTTTAAAATGCAAAGAAAATGTAACCAGAGAATTCTTTCATTCCTGATAACCCTACAGCAGTTTGTGCTCAGAATCGTACCTTTACTGCTCTGATTGTTTTCCCCAACATAAATTAAGCTGCAGGGACAGTTCAGTAAACACACTGTGTGTCAAGGAACCTTTCAGCATGTACAGTCACCCCTTGTAGAGAACAGGAAGAGGAAAATACCCCAGAAACTCCATGGAAACAGCCAATATACCCTTGTCCTGCTCCTGCTGTTAAATTGAATGCTCTAGATGATAAATAATCATTTCCAATTCAAAACCAGCCGCTGCTCTCATCTCTTCTTGAGAGCTCCCCCAAGAACTGCAGGCTCCTGTCCTAAAGCTTGTTGTTTTTTTTTTCCCCTTGCATCTACTTTATTATAATTTGGAAAGGAATGATCCCAGCTGCACAACTGCCACCGAACTCCGGTGTCATCCAGCGTTTCCCCCCGCACAGCATGGTTACAGCGCACCCTCAGTGACCTGCTGCTCGTTCTGTTTCCCCAACAGCATTAAACACTCCCAGGGCCCAAAAAAAGCTTCAGGTAACCAGCAGCCAACTGTACAAATGCAGAGTTAAACTCAGCAGTCCTTTTTCAGGGTTCACATAGCATATTAATAAATTACACAGTTCTCAGTCTCAGTATCACCACCTACCGATCAACCCACGACAGCAGGAACAAGGCTGCTGAGCAATTAAAATTTCACTGATGCTAAAAATGATGAAATGGAGCATGAAAGGGAAAAAGAAAGTTCCCTTTATTTTGGGAGTTTAAATTGAAGGTGATGCAGGAGCACACAGCAGAAAAGGTCATTAAATGCAAATGGTGAAGCTATTTTGCAGGTTTACCTCTTTTCTAGGGCATTTTACCAGATGATCATAACACGAGACAGTGACAAATGCATTCCAGCTGAGATAAGATATGTGGGTCATGCTGACTTTGCAACATTATAAACCACTACTGGGGATAACACAGCTTCTCTGTGAGGTAATTTACCTTCTTTGGATGAAAAGATAAATGTGAATTAACAGCAAAGAGTCTGAAACATCTGAGCTGTGCTATTGATCTACTAAAGACCTAGATAAGTCACAGAGAAACTAATGCTTGCTTTGCTTGAGATCGGTGATGGATGGGATAGCAGATTTAGCAGCTAAGGGGCTATCACTGTCAAGAAAATCTTAGCATTCATTTTTTTTTTTTTAAACTATCCTGCAGTAGTAGGGAAAATATATGCCCTAGCAGCAGTAGGCAGAAGTGATTTTTTACTTACGACATGATGGACTGTAAACAAAAATATTAGAAGGAGCAAAAATACTCAGTGCTTCAAATGTGTTCAACAAAAATACAGCTGTTCCCAATGAGAAAAATGTGGGTTTAATAAATTATTTAGCTGTAGTATTGAGTTGTCGGAGAATAAAGTGAATTAAAGGAGTGTCTCAGACCAGAAAGGATGTTTGTGCAAAGGACACGAACAGAAATTGGTCTTTTAGGGGCGCCGTGTTCTCTGCTTTGTTTTTGGGCTTCCACTTCTGCTCAGCCCTACGAGTCAAGAGTAAAAGCTGTGAGCTGTGCACCTAAAGGCTGACACGTCTAAAACTATTGGAATGCATTTATATCCACAGCATCATACAGCATTTACTTCTGAGTTCTTAACATTTCCTATCAATCTTTATTACTGATTTGTTCAAGTTTATAAAGCACCCACCTGCTCTTCAGAGGAGACACACTGTTTTTAACAACTGAATACATAAATTCAAAGGACCATAGATGATTTTCACTCCACGGTGACATTACACTGCAATGTTTCTTACAGAGGGTATTTTTGCTGGTTGGACATGAAATAATTGTTATTCTAGTTAAAAGGGCAGGATAACACCAAAACACACTCCTTACGTAATCTGTAGAAAGTCTCTTCAAAAATAAAACCTGCAGTGTAGTGCGACTACACTAGACTCTGCTTCTGTGCAGGCAGAGGAATCAGACAGCCTCTTCTAGGCTTACGTGTTGACAAATCATTTTTCATCCCACAATCTCTTACCTCCGCACAGTCCTTGTCATGTCTTTGTTTCCACACTAGCGATGTCAGAAAACGTAAGCGCTTCCTGAAACACGCGGCCCAAACTCATCTGATGCTGCGAAACAAAAGCAGGGAATGAGGACACTCCTCACGCAGAGCCTCTCTCCAGTCAGCATCCGCCTCCAGGATTTGTTCAGGGTCAGGATGGGAAGTCTCAGGCTCTCTGACTCTCTTTCATATTTTCTTTGGGTGCTTCTGTTTCTCTGCGGTTTCTGCCCCATTCCTATTACTCCAACCAATGGCAAGTTTGTGGATTTCTCCATCCCTCCCATCAATCAACATTATTTACATTGTTTAGCAGTTTCTAAGTGTCCTAGATATTCTACAGTTTCTCATTATTTCCCTACTTTATATGGAAGTTCAATTGCTTCTAGATAACCTGCAAAAAGGCAGCAATTACACCATCGACAGCAGCCAGATTTTGTACAAGACCCAACACCCATTCAGTGAGCCGGGAAATGAGATTTTATAGCACCCAGCAAAGTCAGAGCTTTCTTGGCAACTGTCTGCCTGGCAAGTGGATCTGTTTGGGTTCTGGAACAGAGCATCTGTCCCCTACATTTGGCACAACTTTGCTAGCATTCAGTGATCAAAAACCAATTAGAAACCCATGTCCACCACGCTGCTCTCAATCCAACCAGCAAACACTGGGGACAATACAAGCTGCAATTACAAGGCTTTCTGCTTTACCTGTAATATATTTTTTTGAGCAGATGCTCTAGGCACAGCAAATATAGTTTTACTATGTGAAGAATGTTGTAAAACCCTGCTATAACACTTGTGGTTTGGCAGCGAGAGCTTTATCCACTCACCTATCATAACCAAACCCCTGTCCCCTGGGAAAAATTGTAAGTTCAAGCAAAACAACTGAGTTTTCTTAAGAAAATGAACAGTGATGATTTTGAGTTGAGAATCTAAATGTTTACGGGTATGAAAGCTCTGTTTGTAAAAACTTTTCAAAAAAGTTGTATCTATTTAATCTGATTTTTACACGTGAGCTCTGATTTAATTATCTGTCAAAAAGTGTCCCTCAAGATAACAAGCTCCATTTGTAGTTTTTCATTTGGAACCAGAAAGATGAAATACCAGACTTACCTTCTTCCTACTCTGTCCTATCCTTGTCTTTCCTGTTTAGAGGAGACATTTGAGTAATCAGCCTGCAATGAGCTCATCTACTGGAGTGCCCAACTCAGTGGGGCAAAGGGGGTGTCTCGGAGGGAACCGGTCACTGCCTCCAAGCCAGCAGCCGTCCTCGCCTCAGCTGATCTTGGCTGCCATTTAAGCACCTGACCCAGTCACAGTGTCCCTTTCAGTGTTTTGGATGCAATGCCATCAGGACATACACCTCTGGAAGGACGATTCATAATTTCAAAGGCTGAATGAGATATTGAGAAAAACCTGTTAAGTACTAAGCTTTACTCTTCTCCCTGTGGCAGCACCCAGACGGAAGCACACACCAAGGGAAAGGGTGAGATGGCACACGCTCCCCGGACTGCCGACCCCCCTGGAAGCATCAAGGCCAGGTCTGGGTATATATTCTAACTTGAATGCGAAAGATCACCAAGAAACCTGCTTAGAAGAGAGCAGAACCCCTTTCACTCCTGCAAGATACCACCACACACAATTAATTCCAAAGAGGTCAGTTTAACATTTGTGAATAATTAAAAAGCTGAGGAGCTCCAAAGGGGAGCTTAGTGAAGAGCGGAAAACTAAGAAGGATGTCATCTGCAAACAACAAAGGATTTAACAAACTAATCCGTAACCATAACCTTAAGCCAACCTACAGAAAGGGCAACTGAAGGGCAATAACAGAAAACAAACATCAGTGCCAGGCAGGGCTGTGAGCAATGGGAAATTGTGCTGCCTGATCTTACCCCGGCACTTCATCCTGCCCCGTGACAAGCCCTGGGCTGGCAAAGGCTCTGCACGGGCACGTGTCTGGAGGATCCTGGGGCACGTTCAGTAAACCCCTGATGTTTTATTCAAGAGCCTTCAGAGAGGAGAAGAGCACACAGTTCACTGCTGATAAAACAGCAGTTCCGTGTTCCAGAGGGAATTCACCAGCGAAGGGGGGAATCGTCTCTGCGGCCCCGCGGCCCCAGCTCACAGACTCCCGCCTGTGCTCCTGGCCTCTCACCTCGGTGAGGGTGGCTGGCTGGGACCCTGCGTGCCAGGTCCGCGGAAGGGGCACGGCACTGCCAGAGGCTGCGGGGGGTGCGAGGCCTTCAGCGCTCAGCACCCTGCCCTGCCTCACCCCAGGACGTGCTGCCCACCCAGCCCTGAACGCCGCCTTCACCCTGCCGCCTCCCAGCTGGCCCCTCACCGGTCCCTTCCCTCGCTCCGAGGCCTCTGCTCTGAGCGGGGCCAACGGCAGCTCCTCTGGGCAGGGACCTTTGGTGACTCTGCCCCCGGCACCTGCTCCACCGCAGCAAGGGGAACCGAAGCTGCAGAGTGTTCCCCCAGGCAGGCAGCTCACTTACGGGACCTCCCTCAAACTGTCACGATCATACCGCTCTGTACTCCCTACCCGGCCTCCCCGGCACCCTTCAGAAACCTGCAGGCAGCTGCCTGCCCAGGGCAGGACCAGCAGAACCCCGACCGAGGGCTTCGCTGTGCATCAGTCCCTGTGTCAGCTTCAAGAAGCGCTCACGTAAGCCAAGCCCGTTCTTAGCACTGACATGATCACTGCACCAGCTGATTTTGGTCTCGAGCTACTGCGGGAAAGCTGGGCCCTTCTCCAGGTCTCCACAGAGACAGAGATCTACTGTTTTGCTCAGAAGGAGATGGGAGGATAAGGGAGAAAGCCCTCTCATTTCAGGTCACTATACACAACTGTAAAAGGTAAAAAAGACAGGATTATGTAAGGACTGTCAGCAACATTCACTTCCAATTTGGTATCTTAAGACAAGTTGTTTCCTTGAAATCAGGAAACAGCGTAGACACACGTACTGTAAAAAGTAACTGCCGAGTTTGGTGGTGTGTTTGCCTTGCACAATAAGCAAATGTATTTGAAATGAACAGTTGCTCTGAAATGCTATTTCTACCATTCAGAAATCAAACTTCATCTAATTTGCTACAGCTGGACACCACCTGCAGAGTACTGTTTAAGTACTCCGAATGTTACGCACTTATCTTTTAAATATTGATAATGCCATTTTTCATTTATGTGACATAAAGTCCCACAGGGAATAATTATGCTAATAAACCTTAATGATTCTTGCAAATAAATGATCAAACAAAATTGCTACTGTTGATTTATATTAATGGATGCCTTTAGGAGGAGATTTGTCAGGATATGCTGCTTCTTGAATTCCAATTCATCTTATTTAGCAGAAGAATGTACATAGTTTGTAAAACAGATTAAGTGTTTAAAATATAATGTGTTCATGGAGGTTCTGCAGTTCATAACGTTCCAGCATTATTATCTTGCCTTATGGCATTAAATGGCTTCTTTGTACACAACTTTCTTCTGTCCTTTTCCCCTCCTTTTGTCCCTTGAGGCTAAAAAAGTCGTCCTTCTGAAGATCTTTAAACCTCACCTTTCTGTTCCTCGGGTAAGAGCTGGTGATCATTTTGCTGTCCTAACAGATGAACACCGCTGGTGAACAACTTTGCTTTCACTGCTATGAGTCTAGAAACATTTTTTGTGCTCTAATAAGGGCACATCACCTGAAGCTGGTGACCTCCAGAATTTTACAGGCCATGTTAAGATAAGCAATTTCTACTTATCTTCTACTGTCAGATGTGCTGGAAATTCCCACTCCCCATCCATCTGTACTTCTGAAAATTTAAGTAAGTCATTTGGAAATCATTTTACATGGGCTTGCCTTTTAGAAAACCTGTTTGTTTGAAAGCAGTATCCATGTGCTTATTTTACCCCTGATTATACAGCAGGACATATTTTAAAGCGGGTCACGGGAGAGGAAGACAAGGAAGAAACAGGAGAAGGAACTTTATGATTTTAAACTTAGTGGAGCTAGAAGAGGAGAACAAGCACCTGCTCTGTCTGTTCAGCAGGACACAGACATGGAAGTTCAAGGTGGTGGTGGGTCGGGGTTAGGACTAGGCAGGCAGGGGAAGCAGAAGTGTGCTTTCTCTGCCTCTGCAACACTGAGTGCCCAGTGGTAAGAGTCCTACAAGTAGGCTTACTTAATTCTTTGCCTGAACAACTTTGTTGATTGGTGGTCAGTTGAATCCCTCTACGTGATTTCTAGGTGCCTGTCATTTATTTGAAACGCAGTCACTTCTTATTCCCACACCATTTGGCCTGACACATCTGCTTTCATATACTGTAAACGTGTGTTCTAACAAGATACTTGATCCTTAACAGTTAGTTCATGCAGTTTAGATAAAATTTATATATATTCACATTTAGGTAATGAAATACTCACACTTTTGTTTTTATGCATGTAAACTGAGATGCCAAATGGATGTCACTATCAGATGGCAGGAATCCACACACGTTCCTTAGCACGCTTATACAGTGGACTGATTCTGGTTAATACTTGCTCATTTTTATCCTGTGTCTCCTAAATAATTCATGTTTATTGATTACTACTTACAAGCACCACTGCATTTTGACAGCAGACTCTTCACTGGCAGCTGCGTAAAACAAA